AAATTTTTGAACATAATTGAATTTCTGCAAAGAATTATACTTTTGAAAATAATTGAATTCTTTTGTGAAATTTTATTAAAAGAGTAGACATTAAAAACCATTGAATTTTGACAAAATTCATTAAAACTATTTTGAAAGAAATTGAATTGTTACAAAGAATTTCATTAAAATTTTTTGAAAATAATTTAATTCTTTGAAAAAATTTAATTAAAAATGTATTGAAAATATAGGCAAAGGTTTTTAAAATAATTGAATTTCTTTGATAAATTTAAATACCTACAATTTTTAAGAATAATTTCATTTTTCGAGAAATTTAATGAAAAATTGTATTAAAAATAATTGAAATTCTGCGATGAGTTTTATTTTTTATGAAAATAATTAAATCCCTCAAAGAAAGTGTTATTATTTATGAAAATAATTTGTAAATAATTGAATTCCTGGGAAATTTTTATTTTTATTATTTATGAAAATAATGAAATTTTTGAGTAGAATTTTGTTTCAATATTTTTTAACTAATTGAATTCTTTTGGGAACTTTTATTAAAGAAGTAGTAGATATTAAAAGTCATTGAATTGAGGAAAGTTTTTGAAAATAATTAAAACTTTACCAAGAATGTTATTAAAATTTTTGAAAATGATTGAATTTCTGAGGGGAATTTTACTACTTTTGATTTTTGAAAATAATTGAATTTCTGCAATAATTTGTTATTGCTTGAAAATTCAATTTGTTTTAGTGTTTTTAACTATAATAAAACATCTACTTATGAAAATTGTAAACGAAACTCTTTTAAAATTGAATTAATTTCGAACTATATTTAAGTAAAATTAGATATTAAGAATAAACGCACAATAATAACTTTAGAAAACAACAATTTTCCAGGATTTCGATCAAAAATTCCCAGACTTTTCCAAAGTTTATAAGATTCCCTAATATTTCCAGGTTTTCAGGTTGCGTGGCAACCCTGAATAAAAAATTAATCCAAATTTTTGGCATCAATTTGGTCCACTTTAGTATCAATTTGATACTTTAAAGAAAACTGTGAATGTACAAACTTGTCAATATGTGAACTATATTTAAAAATTAAAAATATACATTTTTCTTGCACATTTACTTTTTGAAAACTGAGATGATGATGATAATAAAGGTATAAAGTACAAGGAGAGAAAAGGGTCATTAAATCAATTTTTTAAAATTTTACACTCCTTAGGGTAAGTTTAATTATCCTTTTTTCGTGTACGTGAAAGCTTATTACAGGGGCACCTCAAAACTATAAAAACATTTATAACCACGAAAAAGTAATTTCCAACAAAATGAAATTAATGAACAAAAAGCAGAATAAAAATTGAAACACTCAAAAAATAAAGAAGTTAAACGATTGTAGGAAGAAAATGTTCAAGAATCGTATATATATATAGTATTTTTGATCGTTGGAAACTCGATCTCTCGTCCCTGGGGTGCAAGTTATAGTTATAGTAACAGAGCCTATATATCTGAGACTCGAAGGTAAATGGAGGATGGAATCCTAACTGAATCTCTTCCCTTTCGAAGATGTCTTTCCCTTTTCTTATACTACTACTACTCTCTCTATCATAAAACTCGATGTGTCTATCTCTATATATGTACTTTTATGCCCACACCCTCAAAACCTTATAACGGTGCGCGCTCCTCCCTTTCGAACGTCCCACCAGTCCCTTCGGGCAACCAATCCCAAGTAAAGTTTGTTACACAACTCGACGAACTTTCGAAAATGGTCCAGTGCCTTCGAGCACAGTAAGCCGTTCTTGTTCCCTTGTTAGTAGACTTTACTCTTTGGCGCAGATCTTTGCGGAAACCGCAACGTATAGTTCACTCTCGCCAACTTCCTTACCTAACTATAATTCTGATTTCTCTACCATTATAACTTGCCATTAACGAGGATCCTATTTTTGCTATATAACGTATACATATATTTATGATTTTTTTTTCCATTTTATGTATACGGTATGTTCTTGAAGATAAATTGAAATTTTTGAAATATATATACGGAATTATGTATAATAACGATTTTATTCTAATTCAATACTTTTGAATTTCATAAAATAGACTAAAGGACCTGGTAGGAAATATATACTTTACAGTTTTGGGTCCCAAGCGATTTTCCTAGAAGTTTTTCAATTTAATAGTTTTCTTAGTCTTCAAACTGAATGAAAAATTCAAAAATTGTAAGAAAATCGACTGGGACCCAAAACTAATGTATTTCCTGCAAGTTTTAACCATTGTTTATAAAAAAAAGTAAATTGTTTAACAATTTAACTGCTTTAAATAATTTAAAAAAATTTCATTTAGGAAAAAACACTTAAAACCTATTAGCGCATGGTTTCAGCCTGATGCTATGGGCATTGTTAATAAAAAACAAATTGTTTTGGCTAATTTTGAAGAAATAATAAACAATTTTAAAAAAATGCTTACACCCCACTCTCTAAATTTAAATTAGCAAAAATGTTTACTATAATTTCAATTAGTGACGGACTTTTTGCTTTTGAATTAGTAAATTTTACTAAAAAATTAGTAGTAATGACTATTTTTTAGTAAAATTTAATAATTCAAAAGCAAAAAGTCCGTCACTAATTCAAATTTAGTAAATATTTTTACTAATTCAAATTTAGAGAGCAGAGAAAAATTTTATTTAAACCGCAAATATTTAATTTATTTGAGTTAAATAAAAATATATATTTGTCTCAAAGTCAACTCAATTATTTATTTGTTTTAAATAGAAATTTTACTCGACACAATAAGTAAAACTTTTATTTGCACCAAATAAAATTTTATTTAAACAAAATATAAATTTATATCTTTTTTTTGGATGTAAATATATTCACATAATTATTTTTATATAAGAAATATTTATGTTAACTTGAAAATAAATATTTCGTTAAATAAAATGTATATAATTAAATTATAGGAAAAACAAATAAATTTTTATTTACTGAAATTATTGCAGTTCAATTACAATTTTTTTAATGTCACTAAAAATATTTACATTTATTTGATAATTTAATTTAATTCAACTCAGAACCAACTAGACTTATTTATTTGTCTGAAATAAATATTATTTGGTTTAAAAATAAAATTTATTTGGTTTAAATAAAATTTTATTTAGTTCAAATAAAAGTTTTGTTATATGTCTAATAAAATTGTTATTCAAAACAAATAAAAATTACTTGATTTACACAAAAATTTTTTAATTCAAATAAGAATTATTATTTCATTTAAGGGCATTTGAACCATGATGACGTCACAGTCTTAAAACACATGCTTTGCAGAACCTATGACGTCATAATGGTTCAAATGCCCTTAAGTAAAAAATATTTCATTCAAAGAAAAATTATTTCATTTAAATAAAAATTGTTGATTTAAATAAAAAATATTTAATTCAATAAAAAATATTTGATTCAATGAAAAATTATTTGATTTAATTAAAAATTAACTAATTTAAATTAAAATTGCTTGATTTAAATAAAAATTATTTGAATAAACAGAAATTAATTAATTGAAATAAATATTACTTGAGTTAAATAAAAATTATTTAATTCAAATGATAATTATTTGATTTGAATACAAAATATTTGATTCAATGAAAAATTATTTGATTTAAATAAAAATTATTTGATTCAATGAAAAATTATTTGATTTAAATAAAAATTACTTGAGTTGAATAAAAATTATTTAATTCAAATAATTATTTGATTTAAATAAAAAATATTTGATTCAATGAAAAATTGCTTGACTTAAATTAAAATTATTTGAATGATTAGAAATTAATTAATTCAAATAAATATTACTTGATTCAAAAAAAAATTATTCCATTTAAATAAAAATTATCTGATTGAATTAAAATTTAACTTATTCAAATAAAAATTGCTTGTTTTAAATAAAAATTATTTGATTTAATTAAAAATTATTTAATTCAAATAAATATTACTTGAGTTAAATAAAAATTATTAGATTCAATGAAAAATTATTTCATTCAAAGAAAAATTATTTCATATAAATGAAAATTATTTGATTGAATTAAAAATTAACTACTTCAAATAAAAATTGCTTGTTTTATAAGTAAAAATGATGTGATTTAATTAAAACTTAATTAATTCAAATAAATATCACTTATTGAGTTAAATAAAAATTATTTGATTGAATAAAAAATTATTTGATTCAGAGAAAAATTATTTGATTTAAATAAAAATTATTTAACAGGAATAAACATTCATTTAATAACAGTCAAGTTGTATATTTAAATTATGTAAAATAAATTTTTTTAGTTCTTATCAGAAAAAAAATTTTGCAATTGCAAATATTTTCATTGCTTTGAAGAAAAAAAATTACTTGTTTTAAAATTTAAAAAAAAAAATATATTAATATTAATTCTGGCGTAAGATTAATTAATTAGTAATAAACTCATGTTTTTGTCAATTAAAGAAAAAGTTTCAATACTTCCTCCTAAATAAACCGTATATTATGTGTGTTTTTTCTTTGTCTCAATATATTGAGACAAAGAAAAAACACGTTTTTCTTTTACGTTTCAATATCGACTAAAAAGATAAGTCACAATAATAATTAATAATGTAAAAAACTTACTCCGTTTTTTCCCCTAATATTTTCACTTTTTCATTTAATGATATTCGGCTATTTAAATTTGTCATACAAAATATTATTTTCATTCGCGATAAATATACATTTTTTTCATAAACATTCGATATTTTTGTCAACTAAAACTGAAAACATTCGTCAAAAAACGAATGATTGTGAACATTTTTTCCGGAAAAAAACAACAATTGACGTACAACAATAAATCACACAAAATCAGAACGCAAATCAACAATATAATGTTCAAAACATAATAAATATCATTGACTCACATAGACAATCACTTTTTTGCACAAAAAGTTGTCAATTCAAATAGAAATTTACAAATAAACAATAAAAATCAATCAAGAGAGAAAAAAATTTGAGGTTAGGAATACCTGTTCACCTGATACTTCCAACGATGGATGTTGATTTCACACTTGCCGTCGATATACATATAATCCATTAAATACTTTTATGTAATTACTCAGATTTTTCACAAAAAACTATTACTTTTACTACTTTTTTGATAGATTTATCAGAAACTTTTACGGATACTGCCATTTCGTGTGAAGAACATTATTTCACATAATGAAAACTTTATCCCGCCTTCTGATAACTTCCGTCAATGAGACGCACATGCGCACTGCATGCAAAATTTGGCGCGTACTTTCAAACTCCACATACTTGTAACGCTAAGTAAACAATTTCTAACAAATACAAAAACAAAATTTATTGAGAATTATATTCAATTAGCGTATTTATAGAAGCCTGGTAATTAATTTCTTTTGTTTATTTCAAAATATTTGAGAATAAAGAAAATTCTCTCTGTGAATTTGAAATTGGCGCCAAGTTTTTTGCGAACAACCGGAAACTAATCAGAGCGTGGATTTTTTCTGATGCGTTTCTGAACACATTTTAACTATATAGTTTATTGCGAATGAAAATACACAAAGAAAAGTGTTAAATATAAACTGTAAACAATCGTGTATTTTTAACGTTAAATTTATTATTATTAATAATAATGTGAGAGAAATAAACTGAAAGTAAAATTCATACTGAAGAATTGTTAAGAATTTGATAGCGTTAACAATTGTGCCGGTTCATTGATTTATTGATTGCAAGATTTTCATTTGTTTATTGTACTGTCATGTCAGTGTTTGTTATTATAATGTGCGGTAATGAAAAAAACTAATTATATCTAATTAATAATCGTTTGATTAATCGCAATCCTAATATAATCATACGTATATTAATCGTAAATACGTAAAGAAAAAAAAACCTCCTCCAAACGTCAAACAAAGTGCGGACAACGTGTTTCTGTTCGTGTGAAATGAAAACAAGGTGAAATATTTAATAATATAATTACCAAAGGACAATATGATGAATGAGGAGGAAAATTGCATGAGCACACTGTCGAGAACCTCGAGATCTTTATCGTCGCCAGGTATTATATTTATTTTCTTTTTATTATGAAACTATTTTTCCAAATTATAACCTATATTTTGATGTAATATTTGTTTTTATCGTTTTTATTATTTAGACAGTCAAAGTAGCTTTATCGATGAGACGGAAAAAAGTCATCGTAAACAAAATTCCACTTCTGGTAAAAATATAATTTTTATTTACAGTAGATTTTCGTCATTAAATTTAAATTAATAATTGGGAATAACTCTTTGAATTTACATAAGTTATTTTCTCTTTTCCCTCGCAGCACTTTTCTTCTTTATTTGAAGAAAATTAAAATTCGAAAATAATTCTAGTCATTCATTTTTTAATTTAATTAATAAAATTAACCGAATTATATTAACCAAAATTAATTAAATGGAAATAACCGTAGTTAATTATTTAATTAAATTGAATTATCTATTTAATTTTTGTATTTTATTTATTAGTTTTCATTGTTTCTATTTTTTCTAATTTAAGTAAATTAACTAATTAATTTCGTCAGATATTTAAATTATTATTATTTGTTTCTAATTGTTAAAAATTTAATTTCAATACAATTTAATTATTTTTTTAAAAATTAGATATTTATTTAATATTAATTCAATTAAATTCATTTATTATTAATGTTAATTTAACTATCTAATCAATTTTGGTATTTAATTTACTGCTTTTAATTGTTTGTAATTCTTCTAATTTAATAAAATTAGCTAATTAATTTCGTCAGATATTTAGATTATTATTTTTTGTTTCTAATTTTTAAAATTTTAATTTTAATAGAATTTAATTAATTTAATATTTTATTAATTTTAATTTAATAGAATTTAATTTCAATAGAACAGAATTAAATTAATAAAAGTGATTTTAAATTAATTTTTTTTTAATTATTAATTATTAATTTAATTTAATTATCTAATCAATTTTGGTATTTAATTTACTGCTTTTAATTGTTTCTAATTCTTCTAATTTAATCAAATTAGCTAATTAATTTCGTCAGATGTTTAAATTATTATTTTTTGTTTCTAATTTTTAAAAATTTAATTTTAATAGAATTTAATTAATTTATTATTTTATTAATTTTAATTTAATAGAATTTAATTTCGCTAGAACACAATTAAATTAATAAAAGTAATTTGAAATTAATTTTTAAAAAATTATTCATTTAATAGATATTAGTTCAATTTAATTGTCTAATCAATTTTGGTATTTAATTTGCTGCTTTTAATTGTTTCTAATTTTTTTAAAAATTAGTTTAAAATTACTTTTGTTAATTTAATTGGTCCATTGATTGAAATTAATTTTATTGTTTCATTTTTTTTTAATTTATCGAATTAAATTTATTTTTATCAAGTTTTATTAGTTAAAAAACTATTTTTTTTGTTAATTTCATTAAAAATTACTTTAAATTAACTGAATTTCCAAATTGAATGTTTTGTTGAAATAGAAATATTCATTTACCTGTTTTTTTTTTTTTGCAGATGAATGTTCCGATGGAAGCACAGCATCGTCTTTAAAGAGAAAATTGCGAAATTTACCATCGCCAAGCGATGGTTCATCATTAGGCGATCGATTCACCTATTCTTATAATAGAATTTTCCACAAAAAACAAGACTTGCTTTATCACTTGCAAGAATTTTCGAATAGCATTGAAGAACAAGATGAAAATGAAATAAATTCTGCAACAAGAATCACGTCCCTTGTTGATTCATCGAAACTACAAACTCCTCGAGCTCGTCGAAGAGCAATAATGCACGAAACGATGGAATCTCAAAGTAATTAAAAACTCTTTGTTTTTTTTTAATTATGTTCCTAAAATTTCCAACTTTCAAATGAACGAAATTTATTTATTTCTCCCTCAAAGTGAAATTTTATTACAAGAATTTCGTGTTATTGTTTAAAAAAAATTGATTAAATTTCTAAATGTTAAATTTAGTTTTTCAATTTTTATTGCAATCAGTAATCTTTAAGAAAATTATTTCATGAAAAATATTTCGTTCATTTAAACGTTTCAAACTTGTGGATCATTTTTAATTTTAAAAAGAGATAAAAATTCGTTCATTTGAACGTTGAAAATTTGTTGAACGCACAATTTTTACTTCAATAATTAATTAATAAAATAAATACAAATTATAATTCTTTATTAAATTCACATAATAAATACAATAATTGTGGAGAGTAATTTCTTTTAAATTTATAAATACGCTGTAAATAATTTTATTTTTATTTTTATTTCATATTTTTGCATATTTTCTAGTACCGCAAAGTATCCGAAGGAAAATTCCACGTTTCATGAATGGAGAAGAATCTGAAGATACTCAAAATTCCTCAATATCCGATGACCTGAGTGAAGAAAGATTGAAATACAACAATAACAATGAAAAATCAACTGAAGGAGGAAAATTCGACCTCTGCGGAAATGAGTTAAAGGTGAAAAAAAATTTATTTTTACGTTTTATTTAATTTCTTAATTATTTTATTTGATTCCAAATAATTATTTTATTCGAATGAGAATCATTTGGTTGGAATAAAAATTATTTGATTCAAAGAAAAATGATTTGATTCGAAGAAAAATTATTCGAATATGTAATTACTTTATTCGAATGAGAATCATTTGGTTCGAATAAAAATTATTTGATTCAACGAAATTTTTCAATTGCTCAATTAATAATTTGTATAAAACACAAATTTACAATTACTTGAAACCTTTTCTTTCTTTGGTAATTATTTCGAAACTATGTTTTCAAACAGCAATCTTTTTTTAATTCTCTTAATTTCTTTCATATTGGTACAAAAGTTTTTATATCTGATTACAAAATACTAATTTTTATCTGACTTCAGGCAGAGACTAAAAAAACTTCACTCTCTTGTTCACCTGTTAATTATTCAATTAACAATTCAATTTCAAGTGGTCAAAGGAAAAAAAAAATTGGCGGTTATCGGCCAAATGCGATACTCGTTCGTAATTTGAGTTCTGAAAATGAATCTGACACTGAAAGTGAAAAGAATTCTAATTCTATTTTAAAAATGGAAGAATCAATCTTTTCTTCTCAACATTGTTCGAAATTTACGGGAATAATAAATCAAAGTCAAACAGTTAAAATTGACGGTGAATTTGAAGAATTTCTTGAGAATTTATCGAAAAATTCACAATCAGCTTACAGTACACCGCAAAAGAAAACTAATAATAATAACAATAATCGAAATTGTGATGAAAAATATTTCTCTGCGCCGACTTTCGATAGAAATGATTCTTCCGAATTGATTCGTCGTGTTTCGCAAACAAAATCGACAAATTTTTTCCAGACTGACAAAAATTTTGAGATTCCCATTTTAAAATTGAGGTAAAAATTAATTACAATTGTAAAACTATGTAAGAGTTTAATGACAAATTTCCTTTTTCTTTTAATTTAAGATTTTTTCACTCTTCTTATTTGAAACTTGAAATTGAAATCAATTTCAAGTTTCAAATAAGAATAAAAAGAGTGAAAAAAATCCTAATTAACTATTTTTATTTTTATTTGAAACTTGAAATTAAAACCAATTTCAAGTTTCAAATAAAAATAAAAAGAGTGAAAAAATCTTAAATTAAAAGAAATTGCTAAACTTTTTTTTATTTTAATGTAATTTCATTTGACTTAGAAATTAGAAATTTTGATATTTTCTGCACTAAAATTTTAAGATTGTTATAAAAAAAGAAAAAAAGTGATTAAAAGTTATTTAAAAAATTTCAATTCACATAAATTAATTTTGTTTTATAATTAGGTCTCGAGATTCGTCACTTTCTGCGAGTGGAAAAAACAATGAACTTCAGGATATGAAAGCTTTGTTCTCAGAAATTTCTGATGTGGGATTTAAACAAGAAAATGCATTTGGCGATTCTGGAAAATTTCATTCGACTCTAACGGGTATGTTTTAAATTTATTTAAAACTAAATTCAAATTCTATAAATAATTAATTATTCCAGAAAATTTCAATTATCTTTATAAATAATAAAATTCTTCGAAGAAATTCATCTATTTTTCAAAATTTTAATCAAATTCTTATCAAAACTTTTCTCAAATTCAATGATTTTTAATATTTATTATTTTAATAAATTTTTCCAAAAGAATTCAATTATTAAAAAAAAATTTGACGCAATCATTCAATTATTTTTATAAATAATAAATATTTTTATAGGAAATCAATTATTTACAAATTTTTTATAAATTCCGCAATCATTCAATTATTTTCGTAAATAATAAAATTCTTTTAGGAATTCAATTATTTTTAATGCAATTTTAATAGAATTCCTTGAAGAATGTAATTATTCTTAAAAATCTTATTAAAATTCGTCTAAAGAATTTAATTATTTAAACATTTGTTGAAAAATTTTTTTACGAGAATTTAATTTTAAGAAACATTAAGGTAATAAATTACTTATTTTTCTATTTAAATAATTAAATTCTAGTAGAATTTTCTATTAAAAATTGATTTAAAAATTAATTTCAGTTAAAAGTTTGGATTATAATTAAATATTATTAAAAGCATTATAACGTGGATTTTTAGAAATAATTGAATTTTGAAAAGATCTTAAATTGAAAATCATTGAAATTCTTAATGTTTCATATTTTTAACAAACAATTCTGTAGAATTAATTTTTTTGAAAAAGTTTAATTGAAATTTTAGAAAATTGAATTTAAACAAATGTATTTGAAAATTCTTAAAGAACTTTTTCCAAAATTATATAAAAGTAAAGGAATTATAGAAGAATTTTAGTTAAAAACACTATAGAAAAAAAATTTAATTTTTGAGAAGTTAAAAATTATTGCAGAAATTCAATTATTTTCAAGAGTAATAAAATTCTTCTTAAGGATTCAATAATTTTTACAAATAATAAAACTCATCGCAGAATTTTAAATGTTTTTCATACAATTTTAATTGAATTCCTTGAAAAAAGTAATTATTTTCATGCAAGTTTTAATAAAATTCGACAAAAGAATTCAATTATTTAAAAATTTGTTGGTAAAATTCTTTATGAGAATTCAATTTTGAGAAACATTCAATTATTTAATAAATTATTTACTTTTGTATTTAAATAATGGAATTTTTGTAAAATTTTCTAATAAAAATTGATTTCAAAATGAATTTTCTATTATGCATTAATTGAAGAATTTAGGAAGAATTGAGTCCCAAAGTTGTAAAGTTTAGTTTTTAATTAATTAAAATTGTAATAAATTCTTAAATTTAAAGTAAAAAAAAGTCACAAACTTTTTTATTTTACAATAAAAATTATTTGGAAACTGGACTCGGCGCAATAAAATCAAATTATAATAGTAAAAAGAAATGTAATTTTTGAAAGTATACTCGAAAATCAAATTTTTCCAATTGTATTTTCTTTTCCCTTTCAGAATGTCGCGGGTCAGGTTTCTCAATTGGGCGAAACTCGTCAATTTCTTCTGGGATTCAAATTAAATCCCATGACAGTTCACATTTTAAAAACGTTCCAATTTCACCCACTGATATCGCAAATTCAAATTCAGAGAAAGAAGCAAAAAAAGCGGAAGAAATCTTTCATTTAAAAAATCCGGATTCAACTAATTCTCCAATGGAAACTGAATCGGACATTTCGCCACTAAAAAGTAATTTGGAAATATTCCCTTCTTTCTCTTTTACATTCTTTGTTTTAATTCTTTAAAAAAATGTTTTTCTAATCCACTAAATTTATATTTTTCAGAATTAAAAAATGTCGGCCAAGAAATGGAAATTTCTATCGAAAGTTTAGCAGAAACAATAATATTAGATGATTCTTTAAAATTATTTCAATCACCAATCGGCGATTCAAATCATCAAGATCAAAGAAAATGGACATTTCAATGTAAAATGAATGAAAAAAATTCTCCCGACATTGTTCGACATGAAGAATCAATAGAAATGAAAGATAATCCGTCAATTAATATTTTTCAACGTAGTGCACATTTTAATTCAATGAAACTCGCCAAGTCTAAAAGTGCTACGATTCTCGATAATAAAAAATCATCGACTGATAAAAATCCATCAGCGAATAATTCCACATCAATGTCGAAACTTTCATTTCTTTTAGAATCAATGAAAAAAGAAAATCAAGATCGTTGTCCCTTCACGATCTCTGAAAATGAAAAGAACAAAGAAATTCCAATAAAGGAGGTAAAGAATAAATTTTTTACTTTAATTTTTCTTAGAAAAAAAAAAAATTTTTTTATTTAAATTTCTTATTTTTTACGTAATTTTCTTTTTTCCCCAGTTTCCACCTGAATCTTCGAGAAAATCAGAGGAGAATTTCTATAAACTCAATACACATCCAAGTATCACTCGATTGGCATTATCAGGAAACGAAATTCTTCCTTCAGAATTGATAAATTCTGTTTCGTACGATAATACACCGAGAAGACAAAATTTCTTCATTCGAATGAGAAATTTTTTACGACGCATTTCAAATCGTTTGACGAAAAAAAATTCTTCGTCATCAGCCAAGATTTTATATCAAAATGCTAGTTGTCATTTTGAATCGTTTACGAGCTCAGGATCACAGGATAATAACGCAAAAAGATGTTCCACCTCCTCGGATGAATTGGATAAACAAAATTATTCCAGTCAACGTTTTAATTCTGAAACGGAAAGTTGTCTTTTAAACGGAATTCACAGCGTTCGAGTAAAGAGTTCACCGGTGGATATTATTTCACCTTCCAAACATCAGAATCATCGATATATCAACGACGATCAATCGGAGGTAAAGGAATTTTATAAATTAAAACCATTCTTTCATTGCGATGTTTAATATTTTGTTTTCAATTAAAAATTAAAAATTTTTTTTTACGGGCGGGGGAAATTTATTTTTATATTTTAAAACAAAGAAAAATGTTGAAAAGAGAAAAATTTTTTCATGCATGACAAATGTAAAAAAGGAATAGTAAAATCGTCCTTTCGCAGAATGCGGAGTTAGAAAATTGTTTCGCTGAAAAAACGAATAAAGAAAATACGAGAACAAGAGAGAAAATTGAAGAATCTTTTATTAGTGACATCGTGTTTGAAAATCGAGAACTTCCATGTAAAAGTGCAGTCGAGACGAGTTGTTTTTGCTTCAAAATGTGTCTGTAATAATTCTACGGTCGATAGAAAAGGAAACAGTCAAGTAAAATTCTTTTTATCAACTCTCAGTAAATGAAAAGAAAAATGCGATAAATCGCAAATATTTATGTATTTTTAAATACATTTATAATTTTAAAGTTTTTTAAGCCTAAAGGTTGTTTCTCAAAATTAGAAAAATTAAGATTTTTGTTAATTTTTTTCAAAAAGAAGAAATATTCTAAATTTTTATATTTCTCTGTAAATTTATTTCTTATTTTACATTTTGGAAAATAATTTTTTTCAACATTTTTTTAATGTTTTTTCAAAACTTCATAATTTTTTGAAGTTTAAAAATTATTTCGAAGCTTTGAGTTCTGTAAACAATTTATTCCAAAATTTTTCGATTTTAAGAAATATTTATTTTAATAATTGTTTTTATTCTTTCTAAAACTCATTTAAAAATCGTTTTAAACATTTTTTAAAAATTAACAATTTTCACTGCTTTTGAAAAAATTAATATAACATTTTGGATTATTTTTAAAGAAACAATATCTTTATTGTTTCGAAAGAATTTCTGTTTTAAAAAACTTTATACTCTTCTAGTTTGGAAAAAATGTAATATTTTCAAATTTTTAAGAATTACTATTGTCTTAAAAAAAAAGTTAAATATATTTTTTTTAATGATTTTGTGACGCGCTTTGAAGAAGCCTAAGAAGCAATCGAATTATAGGTCATGTTTGTGTCCAATTTATCTTAATTATAAATTTATTTTTAATTAAGTAAATTTTAAACCAGAGTTTTATGAATATTTCGAATCTAACGAAAACTGGACGTTTAATAATTTTTAATAATTAATTGATTCTCTTTCTGTAATTTTACTCCAAAAATTTTAAACATAACCTCAACATTTTTGCTTCTTAGGCTTAATTAATTTTAATTCTTGGATGCGCGTCACATTTAAATATTTTTTAAAAGTTAAATTATAAATTTTCTTCGAATTTCAATTTTTTAAAACAAAATTTTCTCTCATAATATCTTTTGAAATCTAAATCTAAATGAAAAAATTTTCTTTAAAAATTCCAGGAAAAATTTATATCTAAACGAATTTCAAAATATTGTCTTAATATTTTCAAAAGCAAAATTAAAAATATTTTCCCCTTTTCAAAAACTAAAACAAAATTATCATTTGTTTCCAAAACAAAAATTGAAAATGTTCTCTTGTGAACTAAAATTTTTATCATTATTTTCAAGAGCGAAATTAAAAATATTTCCTTCTTTTCAAAAAGTAAATCGAAATTATCATTTGTTTCCAAAACAAAAATTGGAAATGTTCTCTTGTGAACTAAAATTTTTATCATATTTTCAAAAGCGAAATTAAAAATATTTTCTACTTTTCAAAAACTAAATCGAAAATGAAATTATCATTTGTTTCCAAAACGAAAATTGTCAAATTCGAACTAAAACTTTTATCATATTTTCGAAAACAAAATCAAAAGTTTCTTTAAATTTTTATAGAAAAAAATTTTAAATTTACGAATTTTTTCCAAAATTCCAAACAAAAAAAAGTTTTTAATTAAAATTTCAGAAAAAATGGAATATTCTTGATTTTCAGGATAAAGAAATAAAAGAGCAGGTTTCGTTTTTTTAGGAAAAAATTAAGAATAAAAAGAATTGATTTCATGCAACGACATAAATTTTGTCGTTAACGTTTCATCTTTTTTTTTTTGTTTCTTTCATTCTTTTTTATTTAATTCGCTGTTCGTACATCTCAGTGGTTTCGTTCTACTGTGACATACCAATTACTATTTATTTTATCGCTTACTTTCCCCCCCCCACATTTTTTTTATTTTTTTTTTTTTTCATTTGTTCGTTCGCGTCGAGTTTCGTGCGAGCAATTAATTAATTAATAATATAAGTCTTCAAATATTAATAAGAGATGCGATGAATTGTCGAGTTATCGCCGTAATAAAACGTTCCTTCGCTATTATAAGAATTAACTTATTTTTTATTATTGTTATAATTCTCGTTTTGTTTCTTTTCTTTTCTTTCTTTTTTTTTATCGTTATAGAAAAAATAAGTCTTTAAATAATCACATAACAATCGTCGAACGATTCAGGAGTCTTGATTTCTTTCTTTATTTAGTTTTCTTTGTCGCATGGAAAAATCGAGGAGTTCATTTAAGACCCTCAGCAAAAGATGGATAATAAACTAGGAAAAAAGAATTAAAAAAAAAAAAATACACGTATCTAATATGATAAATGAGAAGTTCTCACTTTCTCGCATTTTGATCAATAGAAATAAAACTCTTTTCAAGAAGAGAAAAATTGAAATAATCTACGAAACTGTTTGCAAAATGATAACATAACTAATTTATAATTTTTAGGTACGTAAATAGAATTTTCAAAAATTTCTGCATTTTTTTTTAGTTAATATAAAATCAGAATTCTATTAATTTTGTGAAAATTTGATACATTTTTCTATTTGGAAAAAAAGAATTTGCATAAAAAATTTTTTATAATTATAAATATTAATAATTATAATATTAATAATTAAAAATATTTATATTATAATTAATACAAATTTTTATAATTTTAATGGAAAAGTGTTTGAATCTTCTCATTTATTTTGATATCCGGATAATCCTATTATTATTATTTAATAGTAGTGATAATTATAATTATAATAATAATAGTAGCGATATTGGTAATAATAAAATAATAATAATAATAATAATATTAATATTAATAATAATATTAATAATAATAGTAATAATAATAAGAATGATAATAATAATAATAGTAATAGTAATAATAGTAATAATAATTGTAAAACGTATATAAAAATGAGAGTGCGGGAGACTTACAAATATCGACGTCAAACTTGGTACAAATAAAATGTAAAGTCGAGTGGGCAAAGAGAAAAAAAAATTGTACAATTTAAAAAAAATGGTTTATATCCAACTTATTGACGAGGGAAAATTAATGAGACTCCGAATCGAATCGATCGAGGCGCTCGCGGACGATCGCGAAGGAGTTAAAATCCCAACACTAAAGGCAATTCGTTCTTTACTATCTGCCGATGCCAGAAGTGAATTCCATTTCATCAATACGACTATAAATTAATCACATTGAAACACGCTCGCTTTTTTTAATCACCATCATTATCATCTTTTTTTTTATCATTCTTATTCCAATAATCCTTATCAAAATCATCATTCTCATCGTAATTATTTATCTTAACTTCATTATCATCGTCACCATCGTCATTTTCATCATCATCATCTTCTTCTTCTTCTTCTACAATACATTTTTTTTTCGTTCGGCCTTCTAATAACGCGCAGACCGTACGTTAAATACCTTAATGCCTTCGTTTTTCAAGTATCACAATTGAATTACCGTCATTCGTCAACGATTGGCAACTCTTTTCGCTATAACGCGTCGGCAGCTAGAAAAATATAGAATTTACTCGCCTGCCTAACGAGAACAGAGTTAAAAGAAAAAAAATAATAAATGAGCGAGAGAGAAAGAAATCCTCTATTTTATCGTCCGCTGTGTTAAAAAAAAATATTTACATCCTTTATATAGAAAAAAAAGTTGTGGCGAATACAAACTAATATAATCGAAACTGAAAAGAATTTTTTTTTCAAAATTAAAATACGTTCGACGAACAACAGGACGGAACGGGGCGACACCCGTGTGTGTGTGTGAAAAATGACAGTGATGAAAAGATTTCGATTAGAATTCGGGAAAAATTTGCAATGTCCACAGAATGAAGGGATTATTTTCTTAATTAATTAGGTTTTTTTCTTTTGGTAGTGTAACGCAAGCGGAAAGGCTACGATTATGAGACGATTCTATGTTTTCATTTTTTTAAATGGTGATTTCAATTGTTTTACACGCGTCGATTCGACTGTTTTTTTTTTATTTTCTTTTTAGCGTTAAAAGTCGCCCAAAAATTTAGCTTCGTGATAGTGAACGTCCACATTTTCCTCCCGTGATCAGCTTCGTTTTATTATTCGAAGGCGATTTACGGTGATTAACGGTGGCCGAACGTGTCGTCTCTAAAAAACGTCGTCACAATGGAGGTGGAATTGAGAACTCCTTTCGCACATAGAACAGAATGTAAGGCTTGCATTTGGCGACTGCATCAGTACTCGCTGGTCTCACTGAACTATCATTAAAATGGAACCATTGACCGTCATGTACAGCAAAGGCAGTGTAGTGTCCAGTTCCGGCTCTGTAATTTTCAAAAAATAATCTTTAGCATTTTTAATTTTTAAATTTCAGGGTTGCCACGCTTTTCCTCTTTTCAAATTTCAAAACAATAAATTCCAAAACACCAATAAATTCTTTTTGAAATTATCATTTAATCATTATTATTATTATTATTTTTATTTTATTATTATTATTATTATTATTATTATTATTATTATTATTATGTATTATTATTATGTATTATTATTATTATTATTATTATTATTATTATTATTATTATTATTATTATTATTATTATTATTATTATTATTATTATTATTATTATTATTATTAGGTATTACTATTATTTTTATTATTATTATTGTTATGTATTATTATGCATTATTATTATTCCATAAGAATTAAGATTTTTTTAAAATTTCAAATTCAAATCTTTATGAAATTCTACAACTTATAAGAATAATTTTAATTTCCATCAAATTTTTCAAAAAAAAATTAATTATTTACAAAAATTTTAATAAAATCCTTCTCAAGCATTCTATTATTTTTTCATATAATACAATAATTTTTCACATGAATTCAATTATTTAAAAAAATTGTAATAAAATTCGTTCTAAGAATTCAATTATTTTCATAAATAATAAAATTCTTCATAGGATTTCAATTATTTTTAATAGAATTTTTAATAAATTCCCCGAAAAATGTAATTATTTTCAAAAAATTTTTGCATGAATTCAATTACATTTTACAAATAATAAAATTTTTCACTGAAATTCAAATATTTTCAAAATTTGAATATTTAAATATTTCAAATTTGAATTTTCAATATTTCCAGGTTTTTCCGGTTAAAAAACGGAGTTTTTCCTGGTTTTTAAAACGAAAATTATTCGAAAACATCAATAACTTTATTTTTAAATAAATATTTAATGATTATTTTTTTTCAACTAAAATTCTTCTTTAAGTCGATTTTTTTTTTTTTTAATAAATTTTTAAAAAAGTTCTTTGAGACTTTTCAAATTCTTTTGTTTACAATTTAATTTTACAAAATTTCAATTATTCTGACATTTCTCAATTAAATATATTAGAAATCAAAAACTTCAAATAATTAAAAAAAAATTCCATGAAATTTATTGAGAAAAATTAATTCTATAGAATTCTGAATTAAAAGTACGAAAAGTTTAAATTTACAAAGATTTTAATTTAAAATTCATTTTTAAATCAATGGTATTTATTAGAAAATTTTATACGATAATTCAATTATTTAATTATAAAAATAAATATTTTATTAAATAATTATTTAAAAATTGATTTTTCATAAAGACTTTTATCAAATTTTTAAATAATTGAATTCTCTTGGCAAATTTTAATAAAATTTTTAAAAATAATTGATTTTTCTAGAAATTTGATGAAAAAGTCGTAATTTTTGAAAATAAATAGAAAAAAGTCGTATTTTTTAATATAGTCGAAAAAAGTTGAAAAAACATAATATTGGAGGACTCTTGTAATAATTGAAATTATGCCAAGAATTTTCTTAAAAAATTTTGAAAATAATTGAATTTCGGAGAAAAATTTTATTATTTATAAAGATAATTGAAATTTTGACGAGAATTTTTGTAAATTTTTAAATATAATTGGATTTTTGCGAAGAAATTATTAAAATTATTTTTTAAAAAATGGAATTATTACGCAAAGAGTTTCATTAAAATTTTTGAAAATAATTTTATTCTTTAAAGAAATTTAATTAAAAATTTAATAGTATTTAATTTAATTAAAAATAATACTCAAATTCTAATAAATAAATTGTAGCATTAATAATTGTAGATTATTAAAATAATTACATTTCTTTGATAAATTTTAATAACATTTTTAAGAATAATAATTTTTTTTTAGGAATTCCATTAAAATTGTATTAAAAATAATTGAAATTCAGCATTGAGATTTATTATTTATGAAAATAATTGAATCCCTGTAAAAAATGTTATTATTTATGAAAAATAATTGAATAGTATTATGAAAATAATTTGCAAATAATTGAATTCATGTGAAATTTTTATTACTTATGAAAATAATTAAATGTTTGCGTAGAATTTTATTAAAATTTCTTTTGACTAATTGAATTCTTTTAGGAATTTTTATTAAAGTAGTAGATATTAAATTTCATTGAATTGAGGAAAGTTTTTGAAAATAATTAAAATTTTCCTAAGAATTTTATTAAAATTTTTGAAAATAATTGAATTTCTGAGAAAAATTTTACTACATTTGAAAATAATTGAATTTTCTGCAATTATTTATAATTAAATTATTAAATAACTGTGGAAGAATTTACTAAATATTTAATTAACTAATTTTAGAAGAATTTTAAGTATTAAAATTTTGAAAAAATCTAGGTTTTTTAGAATTTTTAATTAAATTCATTTAAAATTGAAATTTTACAAAATTTTAAATCAAAATCTTTGGAATTAATTTTGAAAGATTTAAGTAAAATTAGATTTCAAGAATAAACACAATAACTTTAGAAAACAACAATTGAGGCTCCGGATCTTAAAAGGGAACTTTCAGCATTGATTTTAAATGGTAAAAGTGCCCTTTTAAGATTCGGAGCCTCAATTTTCCAGGATTTCAATCAAAATTCCCCGACTTTTCCAGGTTTTTTTTTAAGGTTTATAAAATTCCCTAACATTTCCCGGTTTTCCAGTTTGCGTGGCAACCCTGAAAATATTCTGGTCTAAAAAGAGATTTACCCTGATCCGTGATGGACAATGACAGCAGCGAGATCATAAAGATTATTCTGAGCACTGAGTTTCGCCCCTGTCACGCCTCTCACGGTAAATGTCGACATATCAAGTGATTCCATGGGAAAATCCACCTGCGTGTCCACCTTTGAGCGATACGAATTGCACCACCTAAATCTCTTAATGTGAAGGCACAACACCTGAAAATTTATCGTCTATTAGTAGATTGCTGGCGATATTCGAAGGGAAACGAGTAGAAATCTTACGTTAGGTAGCCTGTGAATCCAGAACCTTTTAGTGGACCTCTGCTTTCCCATACAGTTGTCACAAAAATAAAGTTCACTGTCCGCAAGCTCTTCCACTTTGAAGAATCTTGAGAGACTGTAAGTCAGACTGCATACCTCCTCCTGGTCCTTTGTTCGTCTTTGAAGCCTGTCTGGAATGTCCAGAGAGAGATCCTGGAAGGGCTCGTGTGTTTTCGAGTCCGTACGGCAGTTCATACAGTGAACCTTACAAGTAATTATTCATTCAAATCGAATCAAACACACCCTCCTTACCTATAACCCTTTATAAACAAATAATTAATTACATTTTTACTATAAATAATACCTACCACACTGAGTAAAGTGCCACCGAAAACAGCAGTAACAATACTCTGTTTTCCACGTAGACCAAGAGGTTCATGTCCAAGCCTAGGGAGCAATTGCAATAACTCAGTGTGTAACCTGTCAAGCATATAAGTGAGAAATTCGTGTGCGTCTTGTTGTTGGTAGCCCCTAAAACGTGGCACCACTTTCCAAATAACAAGAAATAGACATTCCGGCGAAATTGCCTGTCCATTAGAACCGCCGAGACTCAATCCCAGCAAGACCTTCCTTAATTCCTCCGCTAAAAGAGCATCACTTAATTCTTTAGCTCGACCCGGTGCAACAATTCGTCCCCTGTGCGTTGGCGGCTCATCAAACGCGATACCCTCTAAACTCGGCATCTGCGTTAAATACTCGCAGAAATGGCTAATATTGTTAAACGACTGTAACACGACATTCATGAAGCAGGTGTTACCCAAATTTCTCAGGCCCACGACCTTCTTCTCTTTGGCATTTTTCGAATTTCGTCGTTTCGTCGTGGGCCTATTATCACCACTTGTCCCATCCAATGAATGTAGCCTCTTTCTTGTTCTTGGCCTGAAATTTTACATAAATTATAAAAACCCAATAGAGCATATCAAAGTTTCTTCATCTGTGAAAAAAAGGGAATTCTGAAAATTTAAATTTTTAAACATGAAAAAACAATTGTCAAATAAATGACTTGCCTGAGATTTCGAACGACAACTTCAGCCTTCCAGAGGGCATCGGCAGCCGATGAATCACCATTCTCAGGTCCATGTGGGGATGGTGTTGAGGTACTCCAACTCTCGTCATTCTCCTTGAGCTCGCTCTTCCGGAAGGCATTACGTTGTATCGCCTCGATGACGCCGTTGTTGATGCCATTCACCACGTACTCGTCACAGATGTAACTGGAAGAAAGGATCTGCTACTCGATCTGCACGATGACCTCATTTCAATTTTCGCCCCCAGCCTAGAAGCACTCAGGGTTACACTCACCAGAATACAGCCAGGTTTTCACAGTCAATGCACACGCTGTGCTGAGTATTTTTTTCGTGATGCTGTAGCGCGTGCCCCGCCTCGTAACGTCCGCAGTGGATCGCTCCGCAGTGCAGACACAGCCAAGTACTCTTCTCCGTTTCGCAAACTGTCGTCCGGAATCCGAAAAAGAAAATAGAAACATTTCTTTATTATTCGCTTAAAATGTCACCACCGAAATTATGCTAAAGCATCTAAACTATAGCAGCAATTTTGTTACTATCATTACTATTATAATTATCATTATTATATTCGTCACTTAGGGCCAGTTTCACCAACTCCAATTAAAAGTTAATGATTAAATCCTTTAACCGACCAATCATGGGCAGTTAAACTGACTTTAATCATTGATTAACTTTTAATCGGAGTTGGTTCAGACAAACTTTTGAGTCTTATTTTTTAAAAGACCCCAGTTTGCAGCATTAAAAAGTGAAATCCTGAATAGCTGTTGTAAAATAAGACAGCGATGCCATCATATAACCAGAAATGAGTAAATGGAAACCGAATCCCTTAAAGCTACCTTGAGATACAACCGGTTCATCTCCCATCATAATGCATGACAAACTAGAACTTGATATGAAGTCATTGCTACCATGTTGTACAAAAGTAATACAATTTTTCACTTAAATTTACTACATGAAGCTGAAACCACACTCTCAATTTGGGAAATTAAATTCTAGAGCTAAAACTCCCCCCTGTTTAATTTTTCAAAACTTTCCGTTGATTTTGAACAAAAAGAATTTACTTAAATCGTATAAGGCCTCGTAAAATTTATTACGCAAAAAGAATTTAATTTCCAATAAGTTAAAGTTGTGTGCCATATTTAATGCTTGACAAATGCTAAACTCGACAAAAAGTTAGTATGTATAAGAAGCTAGATAATTACTGTAATGACAAATTGACGAATACTAATCTTCATGAAAGTATTTTTCAGATACGAGTAGCGGACAATAGGGGTCAGCTGTAAAATTTGAAGGCGTTGATCCAATGGCACTAATCATAAAACAGAGTTGCCGTTTGATCAACAATGAGGTCATATTAAGGTTTTTATTAATGACTGTGTTGGAAAAAATTGAAAATCAGTTAAAAATAAGAAGGTGCAAACAAACCCTGCTAAAAACGAATTTTAAAACAAATTCTAAAATAGATTCTTAAACGAATTTTACATGAGGAAAGTGTAAATTACAATTGCGTTGCAAGTTGTAATCTACAAACTAGGCAGACTATCATCTAGACAAATAGGAATTTCGAGTAAAGTCTTCATTACTCTAAACATGAGTTTAAGTAGATTAGCAAAATTTTTTACAGTTTCTTTAAAATTAGTCCCTCTAATAGAATTTTCAGAAATAAGCAATGCTTGAAAATTAGGTTTCATTCCGATTTGAAAAATTATTCCTTTTTGGAGCAAAGGATGATTAGAATCTTTCGAATTACAGGGTTGTCACGCTTTTGCTCTTTTCAAATTTCCTAAATATTCGATTTTTTAAAAAAGACGAAATTTTTCCAGGTTTTTAAAAAAAAAAAATTATATTTTACCAAATTAAATAATTCCCCGATTTTCAGACAAGTGTTTCACTTTTTCCCTGACTCTAGAGAACTTTATTTTTCAATAAATATTTAATCATTTTAATAAATATTTAATACTCCGAGTCTTCGACTCGAAGTGATCGCTTTCTTCATGTTTTATAATAATTAAATCTTGATACTTTATTAATGTAACTTCTTCAAAAATTATTTTCAATATTGCGATTATTCATTTCTAGAATTTCCAACCAAAATTCTTCTATAAGTCAATTTTTAAAAAATTCTTTGAGAATTTTCAAATCCTTGTTTTACAATTTAATTTTACGAAATTTCGATTATTTTGACATTCTTCAATTAACTATAAAATAGAAATCAAAAACTTAAAATAATTTTAAAAAATTCTATTAAACTTTTCGAAAAAAATTAATTCTGCAAAATTCTTAATTAAAAGTATGAAAAGTTCAAATTTTCAAAGATTTTAATTTTAAACCTTCGGAAAAATCAATTATGTATTTCTAAAAATCTACGCTATAATGCTTTCAATATTTAACTATAATCTAAAATTTTAACTGAAATTCATTTTTAAATCAATATTTATTAGAAAAATTTACGAGAATTCAATTATTTATGTACAAAAATAAATATTTTATTAAATAATTGAATGTTTATTAAAATTGAATTTTCATAAAAAATGTAATCAACTTTTAAATAATTGAATTTCTTTGATAAACTTTAATACAATTTTTAAGAAATAATTTCATTTTTCTAGAAATTTAATGAAAATTGTATGAAAAATAATTGAAATTATGACAAGATTTTTATTAAAATTTTTGAAAATAATTGAATTTCGGAGAAATATTTTATTAGTTATAAAGATAATTAAAATTTTGACAAGAATTTTTGTAAATTTTTGAACATAATTGAATTTTTGCAAAGAATTATATTACTTTTGAAAATAATTGAATTCTTGAGACGAGTTTTATTAAAATTTCTTTTAAATAATTGAATTCTTTTGTGAAATTTTATTGAAATAGTAGATATAAAAAATAATTGAATTTTGTCAAAATTCATTAAAATTATTTTGAAAGAAATTGAATTATTACAAAGAATTTTATAAAAAAATTTTGAAAATTGAATTTTGGAGAAAAATTTCATAAAAAATGGTATTAAAAATATAGGCAAAGGTTTTTAAAATAATTGAATTTCTTTGATAAATTTTAATAAAATTTTTGAGAATAATTTCATTTTTCGAGAAGTTTAATGGAAATTGTATTAAAAATAATTGAAATTCTGCGCGATGAGTTTCATTTTTTATGATAATAATTGAATTCCTGTAAAAAATGTTATTATTTATGAAAATAATTTGGAAAGAATTGAATTCATGGGAAATTTTTTATTATTTATAAAATTAATGAAATGTTTGCGTAGAATTTTATTAAAATATTTTTTAACTAATTGAATTCTTTTCGGAGTTTTTATAAAAGTAGTAAACGCAACTCATTTAAAATTGAATGAATTTTGAAATATTTAAGTAAAATTAGATTTTAATAAACACAGTAACTTTAGAAAACAACAATTTTCTAGGATTTCGATAAAAATTCCCTGACTTTTCCAGATTTTTTCAAAGCTTACAAATTTTCCTGACATTTCCAGGTTTTCCTGGTTTCCAGGTTGCGTGGGAACCCTGGAATTTGTGTCTTTAAAAAAAGGATTTTATTAAATTAGGTTCAATCAATATTTTTCTACATTTTCTAAAATAGAATCTCTTCTGGAGATTCTGATTTCGTTCTCATTATACTGAAGGAATTTATAATTTTATTCAGCGGAAAGTTTAAAGAAAGAATCATTAAATTTAATCGTGTTTTCCACGATTGTCATGTCTCTGGGAGTGAAAGTTCCGGTTTGACGTGATCAGCTCATTGTGATATTAAGACAAATAGTCATCTTCCAGTTTTGTGTGAATCATGTTCCTCGTATTTCCATCTAACAAATATTCATACGGAAATTCAATAAGCGTGTAGGGAATATATAATAAATCGCGCAAGAGTTAAAAAAAAAATTATATATGGGGAAAAGCTGCACGAGTCTGCGACAGCGGATCTCACGCCATCTGATTAGTAAGCTGGCTGCTATCGATTTTGCAACGTTGCCTGGTCGCCTACTTAACGACAGACTTGTTTTTCTCGTTCCAAAAATTCTCACGAATATTACGGGCGCTAAATAAATGAGGAATTTTTCTCCCTTCCCATACCGAAAAAAGTAAGAATTATAGGAATTTAATATATAGAATAAATCATATAAAGTAAACGTAGCAAGGTGCAATTTTTTTTTTTGTTAAAAAACGTCCCCACCGCGTGAGTCGTAACGCGTTACGAGCTGCAGAGCGTAAATTCTCCGATCGTACAGCACCGATAAAGATGAAGTTTCCAGTTACAAACATTTCGGATATTATCAAAAATCACCTATTTTTTCTCCAATGGATTAAAGTTTTGATAAATTAATTAAAATTGTGAATAATAAAATAGAAATTCAAACTATTTAACAGACACAATTATTGTGTTCCAAAACAATTGCGGACAAAAGTAAACTTTTCGCGCAAATGTTTCTGATAAAATAGATTGATAGGTGAATGAAATGACGAATTTCCGAAAATAATTCGATTACGCATTCATTGTTAGATAGACGCACGATTGTTATAGAAAGAAACCTGTCTTCGTGAAAGGCTATGGACCATAAGAACGTGGAAGGAAAGGAGGAATTGAAGAAACTCCCCACTGCTTTCAAAAAATTAGAATGTACTCTCGAGGCACTAGAGTCCCTACTTTTTTTGTCGTTTGTCCTTGCGAAGTAAATCCACGTGCATTGTTACCCAATGTTACCCAAGGAGGCTAATGAACTTTTTCCTGTAAAAACGTTCCTTTACAACTAGTCATCCATTTCTTGATTTCACTCTGAATCATTAGTGATAAAACTGTTATTATGTGAAAATAAGAAAAATACTTGAGATAAACTTTTAATGTATGTCATTGTCACCCTTGAATGTAAATTTTTTTAAATCTGTCCGTAAATTTTGACCCCTAACGCAATATTGCACAATCTATCACATTCTAGACGATTTCTTATCGAGGATGCTTTGTTTCCAAGTTAATTGTGCTTAGTTCCAATGCAGAGACGTCACCACTAAAGATAATAGTTTCAACAATTAGCGCTCGTGAATTCGAACTTTTTTTCCTACTCCCCTAATCTGCTGCTCTCTCTGCATTTCTTGGATGGTTTTTTTTTGTTTAGTAAACTCAAATTAGCAGCGAATTCTACAAATCATTAAAAATTGTTTTTAAATCCTAATTCGCGATTCTTTTGATTTTACAGTACAATGAAAGTCTTTCTCACTTTGAGTTAGCCTTGACATTGAGTCATCAAACTTTCGAACAAATATTTACATTGTCTGTCGTCTCTGGTCTTTTATGATTTAAATTTTCAAGAGAAACAGAGAGAGAAAGAATTTCAAACAATCCTTGAAGAATTTTGTATCGAGATAAAGACACCTAAAAAGTTGGTACTCTTTTGGTGAATAGGTCTCTCAACTCATGAATCCAAGGGATCGTAAACGAAAGGTCGGACTGCACGTTTCGGCGTAAATATAGTCTCGAGGTCGAACAAAGCAAGGCAAGATGGAAGGTCTGATGAAAGCAAAAAACGAGGGGAATAAAAAGGTAGTGGTAGTAAAAAAAAATCACATCCAAAATTCGATATTGACCCTTTGGATATAACTTTCACTAGGTATTTTCAATCTAATTAGGTTCAATAATTTACTTCGTGATTCGTAGATAAAACGTTTTCGATGTCGTAAGTCTTATTAACGAATATCTACCTAATTATGCAGATTAACTCTCTTCTACTTTTCCCTAACGAATCAATAAAATACTTTTGGAGTAAATCACCCAGAATGGTAATTAGATTAAACCATTCGAAAATTATCACTTCACGTTAGATCTTCGTTAGTTTTTTTTTTTTAAATTCTCAAGGGGGATTATCATTCGAAAACCTTTGGCACAAGAAACACGGTAGAAGAACAAAATTCGATAAAATTTAATGTTAAAATACAGAGAGACCACTTATTTGGAATTGGGATTTCTCACAATTTCGGGGAAAAATTTCTGCATTGTAACGAGAAATAATTTTTCCGCTGATCTTTATTGTCAATGACGATGAGAGTTTCTAATGATGGGATCTCGGGCCAGCTGATTAGTACCGTCTGGTATTGATTTTCCAAGCCAACCGCGGCTCCAACACAGACACCAACCAACTTACTAAGCCTCAGGAATGACGCACACGCGCAACACATTCGCAACACCCACGGCCCCAACGAACCTGCACCCACATCAACTAATTTCAGTAACGTTCGAATTTCAATTAGAAGGTTCCAATTTCAATTTGATTTCACATTTTTCATCACTTAAGTTCTGATCCACACTTTGTACCCAATTGGAAATCTAGTCTAGTGTTTTTAATTAAAGGTCAAAATTTTCAGTTCTCAAATCGTTTTTAGATAGATAGAGATAGAAATCCTTAGAACTCGTACTCGTTGGTGTATATGGTAAAAAAGGATCTATTGTTTTAGAGGCAACAACTTTATATGTATGGGAAAGGAATTTGATTTTCTTGGGTTGCGAGAATAATAGGAGAGGGGCTTCCGGGAAAAACGGGTTGGAACTGGTTGGAGGTTTCTCAAGGCCGGGAGAGGAACGGCCTTTTGATTTTTAATCAAAGGGCCCTGGAGAAAATAGGAAGACATTAAGGCAAATATTTTTAATTTTTTTTTGGGGGGGGAGGGTACATTTTTGTCGGAGTGCAGAGTTTTACCTGCGCAGGCAAACGGCAAATCCTTCGAGTAGGTCGCTTCGACATCGTCAACGGTGATGCAGACGCTTTGAGCAAGATGTGGACACTCCATCTTTTATTCCTGAAAAAAATGTTGGTTGATAGGTCCCCCGGATGGGCCCTGGAGAGGCCCTTCCGAGCGTTCTTTTATTTTTGCCTCTCTGTCTCTTGTTTGCAGTCAGTCTCGATTTTTGATATTATTTCACGAGAGTCGAGACAAAAGAGAGCCGCGGTGTCGCTCCTTATTTGATGGGGTACACTCCAAAGTGCCCCAAGGTATCACTCACATAGCGAGCTTCGAAATAATGACTTGTGAGAGGTATATATACGATCGCGATGCTCGACAACGACCAACTGACTGACTAGTAGTGAGAGCAGCGAGCCAGGGAAAACTTTGAGGAAGGGTCGATTTGCAACGCACCATGCGCGACGAGAGCCACAAGGAGCGTCAATGAACACTCGATTTTAAAAAACTTTTTTTGCGATGCCTTGCTTTTTTAAAATATTTTAATAAATAAAGAAAGTGCAAGGCAAGCACCCAGTCGGACTCGACTGGCGAGTCTCTCGGGACACGGCGCTGGCCGCCACAGTACTTGGCTTCTTCCTCAGGAACACAAATGCTTTATGTCTCTTTTCCCTTATAATACTGAGGGCCCCCCGTGCAATTGTCTCTTTTTCACCAGGTTAGGCTGGGTGTGTGCCATTCAATGCTTTGAAATTTGGGTTGGGTTAGGTCGCGCGCAATCGCATTTAGCGTTTCTGCGCACAAATCTGCGCCAACTTCAATTTTCAGTGTCGTGAAGATAGTAGGGAAGTGCGTCAGGAACGGCACTAAAAAAAGGTTCCGATACCCCTGCGCAAATTTTCCCAATAAAACTATAGAAATATAGGGCATTCATTCTTTTTCATTTTAACCGATGAATAAACCCAAAATTTTTCAATTCTCTTTTTTTTCCTTTGGTTTTAGGCCTCTTGTTTCCTAATGAAAGTAAAAATAGTTTCACCTCGTTTAAAAATAAAATTTACATAAAATTCAGTCCTATTTACATTTAGTATTTCTAAAATTACACATTTGTGAATATTTCAAAAGTTAGTACAGATTTTCCTAAACTCTCATAATAATTAGGTAGAACAACTTTTTGTGGAACAAAACTTTGTTCCATTTTTTATAAAATATAAATTGCTTTTCTCTCATAGGGGGTAAAGTTTTCTGAACAAATATACAAAAGTTTAAATTGAAAAACACTTTACCTAGTGATTAAGGTCTCATTTATTTTTGTTTATAGATTTAAGTTTAATTCCTTATTTAGAAATTTGATAAAATTTTTAAATCTAAATCTCGAAGTTCTCAAAGTTTAGAAATATTTTTTTTTTAATAAAATATTCTTCGTTTTCTGTGTGTATAAGCAATTTATGCGTCAAATGTGTAACTATAAAAGGAAGTTGTATCAAAGATACTGTCCTCTCCCCCCGTATTTAAACCCCCTCTCCCCCTCTTCTCTTTCATCAAGTCACTAATGTATACACATCGTAAATAATTAATTAGTTGCAGATATTTCACTCATGACACTTGAGAAGCAAGGTGGAATTTATTAATAAAATTCTACAAATTTTAAGAGACACGTGTCAAGAATATTTTTGAATTTTCTGAATGACTTGAAAAAATTTTCTTTACTTTGATTATATTTTTATGAACAAAAAGTGGAAGTAAAATTTCCGTAAAGGTACAGAAACAAATGTAAATTCCCAAAAAGATTCAACTATGGTAAAAAAATAATTTTATATGAACAAAAAATAAATAAGTAAATAAACTAAAAATAATAAATTAATATTTATTATTTTTAGTTTATTTACTTATTTATTGTTCGTTTTGTCAAAGTTAACGAATGAAATAATTCTAGATTGAAAAAATAATTTTTAAAATGCATTAAATCCGAGTAGAATTTGCAACACGTTTTCTACCTTTACTCGAATTTTACTTCATATTCCCCTAAAGGGAATTCGAATGTAAAATTGTTTAAATAATGTTTTAAATATTTTATTACCGTCGCGACTCTTTGCCACCCGAACTGAAGCAGATATTGATTTATAATTCTTCCAGCTGTGTAGCGAAATATTTTATTACACACAAAACACTTTCTAGTAATTAATTTCTCCCTTTTTTTTTGTCATAATAGAAACTAATTTTCAATTTTCAAAACGAAAAAAAAATCGATTTTGTTTAAAATTTAAATTTGAAAATCCCTTTTTTTATATTATGCGTTAATAAAGAAAACTAAATTACAAATAGAAAATTTTTTGATAGCGAAAAGAATTAAAATAATTAAAATAATCAAAATTTCGAATTAGCAAAAAAAAAAAAAATAGAAAATTTAAAAAAAGGGAATAATTTTTTTTTCGAAATTTTTTATGGCTCTGAAAATTCTTGATACCTCACTGATGAAACATGTGTTCGTCCTCATAAATTGCGTCTGTGTGTGAGTTTATGTGGGAGAATATCCAATATATTCACATTACAATCAAGAAAAACGAATGCAGTGCCTCCTAGTTTCATGGCAAATGTCTAGCCGCGTTTTTGGCATGAAATTCGTGACGGACCACGTTGTACAACATGAAAATATAAACAAAAATAATGTTTAACAATGTTTGTCAACAAAAATTGTCCTTTTCGCGATAAAAGTGCTCGTAAAAAAGGCAAATATTGACAGAAACAAAAAATGAATCTTAAATTTCTAACGAGAAATAAATTCATTTGTGCCTCGAATTTATTAGACAATAAAGAAAAAAGATATTTTTTTGTTTTCAAATTCGAAAGTTCCTCATTATTCTAAAAATAGAAAATCGAAACTAAAAATCTAAAAAAAAGAGAATTAAAAGCAAACGAAATCAATATTTTGCACAGAAATTAAGATATTTTCAAATATAAATTTAAAAATAAAAAATTAGTTTAAAAGTATTAGTGAAAAAAATATATTTGTGGAGAAAAAAAAATGTTTAAAAACAAGGAAACGAAAGTAAAATAAAAATTTCGATGTCTGTGATAACTGTAAAATAAAATATTAAATGTTGAAAATTTAAAAATGCATTGAAACTGAAATAGAAACGAAATTAAATCGCTATTTAATCAAAAGGAATTAAAAATTGAAATTAAAAGAAAAACTATTTAAACTTAATGTATGTGAAAAAGAAAGAGATGATTTTCAAAAATAAAAATCATATGGTTAATATTAAAACAATGAAGAAAAAGGTTCTCATATTGCCCGTTTACGTTTTTTTATTAATAAAAAAGCGAGACTGACATCTTTCTCAATTTTATGTTTTTGTTTTTATGTACGTGAAAAGAATGTATGCTAATTAATTTCGCCTGTTTGGATACGAATGATGTGCTGCAGGTTGAATTAATTGAAGGCCAGGAATGTTGTTCATCTCCAGGAGTTTCAACATTTCCTTAGTCTCGGCATCAACCTCAATGATGTCGCTCTCCAAGGCAGAAATCTCTGGAACATAATTGTCCCTTCTTTCACGTTCTTCCTCCTGAAGTTTTATGGAAATGCCACGAACTTGACAGTGGCGAAGTCTCTTCATAAGGTGAGTCACGAATCTAAAAAAAATTATTTTTTAATTACTGTTCAATTCTAACAGAGAAAAAATCCGATATTTTTAATTATATCAAGAAAATAATTTAAATATTCTAAAAAATTATTTTTAAGTCAATTTTTTCAGAGGAATTCAATGGTTAAAGAATAAAATAGTTGAGAAAATATTTTAACCCTTTTTGAATTTTTATTTTACTGTAAAAATTGATGGATTTTGAAATCCATGCGTAATTTTGTAGAAAATTTGTTTTTGAATCCAGAAAAAAATTGCCAAATAATTCATAATTTTTTAAAGTATTTTTTTAAAAATAAAATTTTGTTTTTAGACTGAAAATGCTTATTATTGAATTTTTTTATTTGAAATTTTTTTTGTTTATTTTTCTTACTAATTTTAGACCATAATTTTATATTTTTTTCTTTTTGTAAAAATTATTATCTGAAATTAATTACAAAAATAAATAAATGAATTTTTAAATAAAAAAATTAAATTTTTATTTTTTTTATTGTATTTTTAGCATTTTTAGCCTAAAAACAAAGATTTTTTTTTAAAAAATGCTTCAAAAATTATGAAAATCAATTTTTTCATTTAGAGAAATTTTTTCTGGATTTAAAAAACAGATGAAAATTAAATATGGATTTCAAAATCTACCAATTTTTAGGTAAAATAAAAATTTAAAATTGGTTAAAATATTTTCTGACCATTGAATTCGTCACAAAAAATTACTTTAAAAATAATTTTGTGGAATATTTAAATTATTTGCCTGATACAAGTTAAAAATATTTGTGCTTAAAATACGTAAAAATTAAATAAAAAAGAATCTAGGCAAAGAGAAGACAATTTAGAAATTAAATAATTTCAGAGCTAATGAATATTTTTAATTACAAATAAAAAATATTCTTTAATTAATTTAAATGATTTAAATACAAAACCTCAAAAACTGATTTCGAAATGAATAACTAAATTTTTTATAACAATAATAGTTATTTTTTTATAACAAAAATAATTAAATTCCTTTTTTTTTTATTTTAAATAAAAATTGAAACGAAACTTTCAAGTTTTGTAATTTTAGATTTTCTTAGATTTTAAATTTAAATAAAACTAAAGTCATAAATTTATTAAAAATAAATAATTATTATTAATTATAATTAACCCTTTACACAAGTAAATTTTGATTTATTTATGAATAAATTAGAAAATTAATTTCATATTCAGATCTTAGTTTTGAGGTTAGAAAATTCATAAATTATTTTCCTTCGCTAAAACAATCTTAATTATTATTATTATTATTTTAATATTGATAAATATTATTTCCAAATTTTTAATATTTCGCTTTCTTTAAAATAATTAAAAAAATGAAAATTTGTAAAGAAAAATTGTGAAATAATGAACGAATTTTCGATTCGTTTTTTAGTCACATAATTGTTTCTAAAGTGATAAAGATTTGCACAAAATAAAAAAGCAATAAATAAAAACTCACCCAGCAATTTTGTTCTTGAGGGGTTTGCTAGGAATAATAGCAATTTCCTCGCATATTCTCTTATTCGTGTGGAAATCGAGTGTCAGACGAGTGTAATACTTCTCGATGATGACTCGAGCTGCCTTTTTGATAGTCTTTGTCCTAACGCGACCCTGGAAATTAAAAAGAAATGTGTAAACTTTTCAAAATTCTTCCTAAATATTATTTAGAAATACAATTTCACAGTTTATTTTTATATAAAAAAAAACACAAAAAAAATAGAAAATCAATTTTGTGAACTGGCACTGAAAAACATAACCTCAAAACCTCGCGAAACAAATTAGTGAAAAATGGTTTAAGTATAAAATAATTTTTAGCACAATATTATATTGAGAATAACAAGAATAATGTAGCGATAACGTGTGAATTGAAATAATAAATAATTTTCAACGGATCACGAAGATTTAAACAGATTTTTTTCATAAAAGTGAAAAAATTGTACACACCATTTTGGCAGATTAACCGGAAAAGGCACGACAGCGTTGTAAAGCAACTAGCGCTCCTATCACTTCCGCTTTTTTCCGTAAGCTTGAAAAATGAAAAATACCCAATGTCGGTAAAAAAGAAATTGATATTTCCTGTCGGTAATAGTTACCATCTCGGCTAGTAGTTTCCAATTCCCGCCGTCAGAGGCGCCATTGCTTAGTGCAGTTTTGGAGGGAAAACGATCATTTGTCATCGACAATTCGTACAGTCAACAATTAATCTACTGTTAATTATAGTATGTTAATTAGAAAAAGTTAAGTGTCAATTGTCAATTCTTAGAACTGGTACTGTAAAGAAGGATGAATACCAAACTTGAGCCGAGTGTTTAGACTATTTATTCCCTTTTTTGCATCGTTTTGATAAAATAGTAAGTATGCGAGAATTAATTAAGATTTACACATTTTCAAATAGTTTTTAAATTAATTTTAGCCTTTTGATACTAATCTGTGAAAATATTAAATATGCTGATATTAAATAACTGCTGATAATTATTTTGCTCGAAGTTTCAGTTTGATTGCGTTAAATTTTGTTATTAAATATTTAAACTAAAATTGATATTCTATTTCGAGTGTAAAAAAACAAAAAGTTTGAAATTACTGCGAAAAAGAAAATTAATTTCTCTTCTTTACCATTGTTTTTAAGGTTAAGTTGACAAATTTTTTCAACTGTGATTATTTAATACATGTTTTACAGGTTAACCTAAAAAGTTTATAGATTTCAGTTATTTGGGTTATTTGATTTCTTTTAGAATCTTTTTTTAGTGATATAATTACAATAAATGAATAATTAGCAAACAAATAAGTAGATTTTAAATATTTTAAATTTTAAATATGAATTTTATCGAAACTAAATAAAAGAAAAAAAATAATCAATAAATTAATAAACATACACCCAGAGAAAAAATATATTTAACTCAGAACCAACTAGACTTTTTATTTGTTTCAAATAAATTTTTTTTGTTTTAAATAAATTTTTTCTCTGGGTGTAAAAATAAATAAGATAAAATTATAGTAAAAATTTAAAAATAATAAAGAATCAATAAGTAATTAATAATTAATAAAATTATTAATGGCATTTTAATTAAATTTGAAAATTAATTAACAAATAAAAAAAATAAATAAAATGAACAAACAATAGAAATAAAGAAAATAAGTAAATAATATAGTATAATAAGATAATGAGAAATATACTGGAAAAAATGTATTTAATTCAATTAATTCGAATTATTTTTAAAATATATACTTGGTTCAACTAATTTTTATTTGAATTTAAAAAATATATATTTGATTCAAATAACTTGAATTATTTGAATTATAATGATTTCAACGCAAATAAATCTTAATTGAATCTAATAAATGAATTTATTTAACACAAATAATAACTTATTTGAAACTGATAATTTATTTATTTCACTCAAATATTTACATTTTTTATACAAATAAAAATTACTTGGCACAATTAATTTATTTTATGATTAAAAGTAAGCTTAACTATTTGATACAAATAATGTACTATATTTAATTTTAATATTCTAATCAAAATTCTAATTAAATAAATAATTTATAAAAACAAATAAAAAATACTTAAATCAAGTAAATAATTTATTTGAAACAAAAATAGTATGATTTTTCGATACAACTCGTTTATTGATTCCATTTAAATATTTATAAATAAATTAAATAATAATAATTAAATAAATAAGAATATAATAATTAAATAAGAGTTATTCGACACAATGAAATTATGTTATTGATTCAAATAAACTAAATTATTTCACACAGAAAACACGTATTATTTAATATTATATTATTTGATACGATAAAATAAAATACTTGAGTCCAGTAAATATTTACTTAGTTCAAATAAATATTTAATATGGATAATAGACAATTAAACCATTTAATTGAATTAAATAATTTGTATTTGATACAAATAAATTTTTTTTCAGTGTTTAAATATATACTTTATAATAATTTATAATATTTGTAATTATTTGACGTCATTTTATTATTATTATTGTTATACATTTAAATATTTATTAAAAAATAATTTATAATTGGACTAATCATGAAATAATCATGAGTTTTAATATATTTAATATAAAGAAATATATAATTCAAAAGGTAAATTAATGAGTAAAAGAACTAAATTTAAAAAGCCAATATATTATTAATAAATTTTGTTTATAAATTAATTTACATTTTAAGCATTAAATAATTATGAATTTTAATAAAATATTGAATTTAAAGAAATATATCATTCAAAAAGATTAAAAAGTAAAAGGAATAAATTTAAAAAGCCAATATTTTTTAAAATTAATTTAATGTGTGTTCCTAATATAATACATATTTTTATATAAACATAAACAGAAAAGTTTACTTAAAAAAGAATAATACATTTAATAATTGCCGCGTGCTCCTCTTTCTTTATTATAAATACACGATTTTTTAATTGTTTTGTATTAAAATTTTACAATGGAAAAGAATATTTTTTTTACATTATAAATTTTTATTGTAAAGTATACATGATTATAAGTATAATAAATACATTATTGTTTATTAATAATTATAAAGAAATAAAGAAAGATGGCACAAACAGCTTTCTTTTGATCTCTCACTATCGTCGTTTCGTATTTATTTTCATATTTTATAAACAATTTTTTTTGTTCTCAACGCTTATCTTTGCGAATTTTTAAAAAAATCTGGAATTAAAATTTAACTCAAGTCACGATTGTTTAATATTCTTGATGAATTCATTCTGATTGCGTGAAACACGTGTACTTGTCATAATTGGATATTTCTTATTAGTAAAATATTATAAATAATCTACTTTTTCTATCATTTATCTTATGTTTATAATTATGTCTATATCTCCCACCTTATCTTTCGTTACCTTTACGCACTTCATTAAGAAGAAATGTGTTTCACAAAAATTCAATTTCGTTCAAAAATTTTTAAATATTCTCGTCAAAACTTCAATTATAATATAGAAATATTAAAATTCTTCTCCGAAATTAAATTATTTTCAAAAATTTGAATACAATTCTTGACAAAATTTCAATTATTTTTCAAAAATTTTCCTCCATTAAATGATTTTTAATATTTATTATATTTATAAAATAATTTTCCAAAAGAATTCAATTATTTAAAAAAAATTTGGTAAAACTATGCAAACATTTAATTATTTTCATAATATAATAAAAATTTCACAGGAATTCAATTATTTACAAATTTTTTATAAATTTCTTCGCAATAATTCAATTATTTACATTAATAATAAAATTTTTACACATATTCAATTATTTTCGTAAATATTAAAGTTCTTCTTAGGAACTCAATTATTTTCATAAATAATAAAATTCATCGCAGAATTTCAATTATTTTTAATACAATTTTAATACAATTCTTGACAAAAATTCAATTATTTTTCAAAAATTTTCGACTCTATTAAATGATTGTCAATATTTATTATTTTAATAAAATTTTCCAAAAGAATTCAATTATTTAAAAAAAATTTGGTAAAACTATGCAAACATTTAATTATTTTCATAATATAATAAAAATTTCACAGGAATTCAATTATTTACAAATTTTTTATAAATTTCTTCGCAATAATTCAATTATTTTCATTAATAATAAAATTTTTACACATATTCAATTATTTTCGTAAATACTAAAATTCTTTTTAGGAACTCAATTATAAATAATAAAACCCATCGCTGAATTTCAATTATTTTTAATACAATTTTAATCGAATTTCTCGAAAAATGTAATTATTACTCTTAAAAATTTTAATAAAATTCCTCCAAAGAATTTAATTATTCAAAAATTTGATGATAAAATTCTCTATGAGAATTGAATTTTAAGAAACATTTAATTATTGAATAGATTATTTTTTTTTGTATTTAAATAATTGAATTCTCGAAGAATTTTCTAATAAAAATTGATTTAAAAATGAAAAGTTTAATTGCGGATTTTTTTTTTTGAAATAATTTGAAGTCTTTATTTTCTAATATAAATTTAATTGTATTTGAAAATTGTCAAAGAACTTTTTCGAAAATTATTAAAAATAATTGATTGAAAGAAGAATTTTAGTTAAAAATTCTTGAAAATAATAATTTAATATTGAAATGATGAAAATATTTTTGAAGAAGTAAAATATTCTTATAATATATGAAATAATGATTTTATCAATTTGCCATCTTTAATTATTAAAAAACATGAAGAAATCGATCACTCCGAGTCCAAGACTCGGAGTTATCGATTTCTTCATGTTTTATAGTTATGAAAAAATTTTTCTTACAGTTTATTTGCAATACTTTTTTTTATAAGTAAACAATAATTTTCTTAAAAAATGTATTTTATTCTTATTGTTGAAATAAATTTTTCTTCTATATATGTATATTATATAGATATATACATTTTCTCCCAAACTGTTAAAAGTGGGAGGAGTTACAGATAAAACCTATACCGCATTTTCTTCAAGTGTACAATAACAGATATTGTTGTTTTTTTCAGAAGGCGTTACTTGCTTAGATAAACATCACCTTTATCATTCCAACCAACCTGTTAGAAGTTACACTACTTAAACACCAATAAAGATTCCGAATCCTGGTGAGTAAATATACTTTTTATACAATTTAAATTATTTCAAATTATTTCAAAAATATTTCTTATCTTTTTTCTATTTCTAATATTTTATAACAAAATTATTTTCTTTATAAATATAAAAAAAATAATTATATCTATGGAGCATTCTACGCGTAGCGAAAAATCCAAAACTTCTAATAAAAAAAAAACTACTTTTAAAATTATAAATCATAGTTTAATGCATTTTAATGGAAATAGTTCCATTAAAATATGCATTAAAACACGATTTATAATAATTTTTTGGCTTCTTAGGTCTTTCTTTGGTCTTTCGTCATATCGCGTCACATTGGTTATTCAAATATCGAAATTTATTATTATTAAATAATTTTAATTATTAACTTGAAATTAAAATATTTGCCTTCTCCTGGGAATCGAACTCAGAACCTTCAGTACTGTAGACTTGGACTCTA